CTTGGTATATTTCCAAACTTTACGTCTGCATCGTCAGTGAGAGGCGCCATCGTCAGCACAGAGTTGCAACTTATTAAAGTGTCAAGTAAAGACAATCCTCTTGACTACTTTTCTGCCTTTCGCGATTCAGAGGGAAAAAGGGAAGTAGTGCGTTTTTACCAGCAATTATGGTTTAAGTCGAATGCAGGGTTGGATTACAGCAATCCATCTTTCTTGTCTTCGTGCTTGGGGAATTATCGTAAAGCACGCTTTTCTGCTCTGACGATGGCTCTCAGAGTGGGACAGACGAAATCTCTGGTTGATTGGGATCGCGGGATAATGCGCTGACAACTTTATCGCACAAGTCTAAAGTCATAGTTCTAAGGCAATCCTTCTTCGGCCTAGGTTTCGACAAATTTACGAATCCCTTGCATTCGCCTTTTCGAATGAACTGAAAGGTATGCCAACTGTAGTCGATTAAGGACGTCTTCAGAACCCAGTTTTTCGTCTTAACTACTGGCTATTCCCTCAATGGTTCTATCGGCTTTATTAGACCTCGGATTGATTTGTGATAGTCAGCTATTATAACAAGCCTAAAAGTTTATAGATATATGTATATGATACTTTATATTGTATATTTCAATTGTTTATATATTTGTAGTGGCTGTCTATTTAGAAGCTATGTGAAACTTTTATAGTATCAAAAGAAATGGTCTTTTTTTCCGAGTCTTTTTAAGTGCCCTGTGTGCTCCGATGTGTGGGCCTTTCAGTTTAAGGTGTGGGAATTTTGGGCCGCTTCTCGAGGCTCTTAATTATTGTTATGTCTGCTGCTTTCAATTGTGGAATTTATAACTGATAGAAAGACCGTATTGAGCTATTCACAAGCTCTGAAATTCTTTTTTGCATCTTTATTTCTTATTTCTTTGTTCTTAAAATCTATTGGGGGGAAATTTGCTTCTCATTTTAAGAATATTATATAATTATTCATTTACGCGACTTCACAACAGAAACCTGGCTATATCTTCATCTTGTCTATCTGTTTAATCTGTTTGTAGTTTTTGCATTTTTATCCATTCTCACGTTTTCAAGGTGAAACTAGGTCTCTTGCCTCAGTCAGCAAGGATCTCAAAACCGGATTATCGCCTCAACTCTTGGGTGACGCCACCTGCTTGTGCTCGGACCGATCCTGAGAATGAGGTCACCTTTCCAATGGCAGAGCCACTCGAATCCGAAACGGCTGCCGCCAAATCCGCCAAGCAGGATGATTTAATTGACAAGGATGATGAAGCTGCACTTCAGGACGCCCGCCTTTGGGATGCCTTCAAAGATGAACATCGTCGGGGCAGTGGGAACAGGATGAATAGAGGATGATATTAGCCAATTGAGCAAATTATTCCGTCCCTAATTAAATATGTAAAGTCTATTCTCCCATTCCTCATTTTTATTCTTCATCACCGTGGTGATCAAACTTCCGATTCTGATTCTTACGATCTAAATTAAAATCCCGCATTGTGCCATTCGAAATAACGCATCACTTAGCTACTTTCCTATAGCCACTCACCACCCTTTCCTTTTTTTCCTTTTATATTTTCCAACATTTGTCTTATCTTCATACTTTATACAAGTCTATAAAAGTCTACAGTTCTTCCCGCAAGTGACACAAGAGAATTGAGGCTTTGCCTCGAATTCTTGCCTCATCCTCTTGCAGCATATGTAACCTTATTTTTTCATTTTGTGGCGATCGCCCGGTCTGTATATACTCACCACTGAACGCGTGCTTTATCTATTGTGTAACCCTGAAAAATTAACTGGTAATTAAAGAAAATCTTACTCTTGTTTATATTTTCTGGTTTTACTATTGGGTTTTGCTAAGAGGTCTAATAACTGAGGACTTATTCCTGTTTGTTTACAACTGAGTTTATAAGAGTTCCTTCTAGATAATGATCACTCATTATGCTTCCTGAACCAACGTCCCATTTTTTTCTCTGAATTGATTTCTTAGTCCAATTCTACGAATCTATATGTATTCTCTTGGGCTGACATCATCGTTCCGCATTTTTGTAAGAGATAGTGAAAATTAATATTGTAGTCCTATCCTGTGATGAGAATAATAAATGTAATAATCTATTTCCTTGAGGCGATATTCCAACCTTAAATATGTGTGGGGCGTAATCTTAATCGGCATGCCTAAAAGGGTTAATAATTAAGTAATGCACGCTTCAAGTTATGACTAAGTGTTTGGTCACAGAAAAGAGATTGAATTCGGCGCAAATAGAAAACAAATAGGATACGCTGTATCATAACATGTGGTATTGTTTTGCTGCATTATTGCTTCATGTCAGTAGAAATAGGGCTATTAGTTGAGGCCCTCAACCTCATTGCCGTATGGATCTACACAGTTATGCTGATTTGCCCATACCGAGGTATCTCTCCACCTGTTGATGTCTCTATGCCAAGGTAATAAATATCGGAGAGGCTTTTGACCAGGACCTAAAGTTGTGGATGGTTTTACAAGAGGAGCAACCATTTGGTAGAACAATGGTACCCGTCGGGGTATGCTACTTTACTTTGTGGTTGCCCTCGCCATTGTCGCGTGTGTTTATGCCTGGCTCATTAATTTGTCTTAATGCCAACTTAATCTTCTATGCCTTATTTTTCGCAGCTTCTCAATGCCCAAGCGATCTGCAGTCGCCTACATTAAGAACGAGGTGCCCAACTTCATTCGTCGCTTCCAGGAGAAGTCTGGTCTAGTCGACGATTCCAGTCTTTGTGATGCTAAGGTCAGCCAACCTTGTAGCTAAGACTAACTTAGTGAATCTAGAAATTATTTATTGTTATTGCTTTGCTTCTATGTCTTCTGGATTAGTCTTATATAGTCTTATTTTATGCTAAATATATAATTTATATTATTTTTAGTTTTTACTGAGCATTATAGGAAAATCATATTTACTCTTCAAAGAGGTTTTGTCACCAAATTAAAAAGTATTCATCAATAAATTCAGTAAATTTTATTTCTTCTGCCGTCATTATAAACGGCATTTGTTATCTTTTATTTTTATTTATTAGTCATTCATCCGATGTTATTTATGTAGGCCTAGATCACTTTAAGTGATTTAAAGACTGACAAGTGAATTTTACCCTTTTTTTCACAACCTAGTTTCGGATCCCGTTGGGGGTGCCGATGAGACATGCGAGGTCGAACCTGCATTAATTTCCGGATAAGAAAGCCTCTTGAAGAGCTAAAATCTAAAAACGCTCCTTGATAAATTTTCACTTTTTCCACAATATTGAATTTGTATGACCTCGTTTTCTCAAATTGGTCGGGGCGACAGGGAGATTTCATAGAATATACTCGGTCATACGTACTCTACTCCAGTGGTCATGATACTTTCCATAATCGGACCGTTGACTTAGTACATTACCAGACACTTGGCTGAAATCGTTATTGAGAGGTGCACCTGGTTAACACTTGTCAAAGTGGAAAATGAAGGCAATCCCCGAAACCAATTTTCTGTGAAACGATCATGGATTCGCTCCCTAAATTTTTTCCTCGGCTCCCAGTTCTACATTATTTCTTCTGAATTTAACTCTATATGACCAAATCGAGTAGATTTTGATACTACATTTTTATTCATATGGTCATGTTCATTACCCACATCTCTGTATTTTCGTGTGATCTGATATAATCAAACTCGGATGTCTCGTGGACACATATATCCAAAGCAATCGATACCACGATACTTGCATACCCTTCATTTTATTTGAGAATGCAGGCGGAAGAGATTCGTAGATCGGCTTCACCGGATACCAAAGGAGGGTTGCCTTGGACTTTTGTCTGATGAATTGGGCGAAGTAGACCTTGGCTCATCGTCCTACGACCCCGATGACTCCGTGCTGAGTTTCCGTCCGTCATGTGACGGAAGTCGTCAATGCCTGAAACCATTATTCACGGACAATCTCCAAAAAACACTCATCCAAGGAAAGTGGCCGGCATTCCATGATTTGATTAGCTGCTTTGTGCTTGTCCTATATGCCTTTAATCGAGAGAAGGTGATGCAGGAAGGGAAGCGGATGTGGCGACAACTTTTTTCTATGTAACTAAACTAGTGTGAATAAAAGCGTATTGTATTTTAAATAGAAGTGGTGGATCTCCACGCTAGTGTGTCCAAAAGAAGCCAAAAGACTTAGGGTTCCGAGGGCTGGAAGTGTGTTATAACTGAATGAGCGAAGTTTGCAAACCAAAGAATGCAGGACTAAGAATCATGTTTTTGAGGTTACGATACTGCTTCCGTACACGTTCCATCATTTGCCTGGACCAAATCATGTTAATAATTCTCCGAGTATAACAGATGGTGGCTGGGATTGAGGGATTATAGCTAGCCAATTAGAGCGCACAAGTTTGGAGTAGTAAATTCTTAATGAATAATCAATTGTGATCAAATGGTCTTGCTGACGGAATGCGAAACCGGTTAGGGTGATTATGCGTAACAATACCCACATGAATGGCCGCAAATTTGGAAGAGACTGAAATAAACAAAGATACTGAGGAGTGTGGGTAGGATAATTGGCCGCAGCAGCAGGTAAAGAGCCTAGTAATCCCTAAGTAGACAAAATTACTTGTTTTTGATATAATTTTTTTTCATTATAAATAGTTTTCGAATGTATAAGCAATTACTGAATATGAAGTAGAAGCCTGTGACAAAAAGCTGGAGAGGAGGGATACCATAATTGTTAAGCTGAAAACTGTTCCAGAGGATTGTCTTTACTTGTCACTTGACAAGTCGTGACTCGGTATTAAGCTTGGCACCTCTCACTAAAGCTGCAGACGCAATGTCTAGGAATGTGTCAATTTATCGGTCTTATGCTAAAATTACCATTTCTGCTATGACAAAGGACGTAAGACTGGGTACGTTCTGCAAAGTTTCCCTGTCACCTGGACTAAATTACGAAAATGAGGTATTATCAATTAAATATTGCTGAAGAAGACGGCTGTAAAACCTAAGGTTACAACGTCTTGGTCTTTATATTTCTATATTATTACTGTTTAGTTGATTTATTATTCCTTT